CTGCACCGAAAGCAGCGAGGCAGGTGGGAAGAATGGGTGGAGGAAACCATAGACAGATGGTGTGAAGCAGGAAGGGAAGAGACAAGAAGGTCAAGCCCCATGCACAAGACAGGTAGGCAGACAACCAAGACCACCGGTGTCAATCATCGTCAGCTGTCGCAATCTAGTCTAGGCAATGTGACTAATTTCATATCTCTTGATATAAAAGGGGTGGAAGAAGGGGGGTGTGAGTAAGTATCATGAAGCCCACAATACCATCCAGCAACTGACTTGGGGAATAAACGTTAAGGGGGCGCAGGGTAAAAGTGAAAACAGCATTTGGCTTGTGAATTTTGGTGGTAGTGGGGTTGATTCAGGCGTCTCAAGGGGTGGATGGGCATAAGAAGAGAAAGGAGAAAGAGATACATTTCCTGACAAGCGGGCGAGTGAGTCCCTCTACCTAGGCGGGTTTTCATCGACCTTTTCCTTAGGTATACACGGTGAATACAGAAGGCATATGGGGACGTTCAAATGTTAAAGTAAGATTAAAGTAGGAAAAGATAACTAGTCCTTTTCTATCTTCCATGATATCAAAAAGAACAAGAATAACTTGGCAGCTAATCTGATATCAGTCTACACCTGGCAGTTAGTTAATCTGCAAGCTCCTCTTGAAGTGCAGCATGCCTTAAAATGATCGACGGAATGGAGCTGCACGAGTTAGATCCAGAAGCAAGATCAAAAGGTGAAGGCAGCATTTGCAGAACTGACATGCATCTTGGACTTGGACAGCCTGCATTCTAGAAAATACAGACACCTAAGGATGTCTCGAGCATGACAAGAAGTTAGATCTACCAAGCAACTAGATGGATACTTAATAGACCCTCTTAAGTCTTTTTGAGTGGAGGTATCGAAGTTGTCACCTGGCCACGCAAGAGGTCTCGGAGAGCACCCTCCAGAAAGCGGAACATGCGGGTCAAGATACGCTAGGCATCTCGTATCCGGATCGATGAACTAAGCCAAAATTACCAACCCCCCTCCCAACCAACCACCCCAATCTAGAGTTCCGGATCGTCAACGTTGAACCACATATTGCGGAATCCGGAAACCCTTCTTGCCAAGCGGGGCTTTCCCCATACGAATGGCGTGTCAAATCTAGACGGATATAGAGCAAAGACGCAGGCAGAGAATGCCAGAAATATGTTGATTTTGTTATTCCAAGAACTAGAACTTCGAAGTGGCCAGGTTTTACTCCAAAATATCTCCATGCTCCAGTTTGCAAGGCCGTAAGCTTGGATATTCTCGGGAAGGATACGGAGTTCCCGTGCGGCAACTTAGAGGAATGGCGGTGGATATGGGGAAGGTATTATGCCGGTGTTCTGAGTTGCGAAATAACCATCCTTGAAATGCTTCTAAACAATCAACTTAATACCCTTCATGTATGATTAAACTTAGTTTGAATTGGCTCAAGAACAAAAATAAGGCATCATCACCTCTTTTGGCATTCATCTATTCACATTTTCTTCACTCTTTAATTCATGAAGGTTCAGCTGGGTTGCCACTATGAATTACGCTCTGGATGAGTGCCAACCAAATGGGAAGATCCCTGTTTTCACGTCATACAGGGCCCGTCAATTCACATATCAAGGAATACCCACGCAATCAGAGGTGCGTACGGCATCCCGGTCTTCGAATTGTGATGGGAAGCTAAAACAAGATTCGTAAGTGCCATGATCCTTGAACGTAATTTTTGTATGGGGGCGCAAGGGTGAATATACGCTTGTCGTTTTGATTCTCTCGTCAAGGTTTTTGTCAGGAACTGGTACAACGGACGCGTTTATCCGCTCCCAATGTCTTTCCCGTTAGTTGGGATGTTGGTAGGACATAAAAGTCTACAACAATTTGGAAAAAGTCCTCCTTATTATTGCGGGTCTGTCGATAGGTTCAAAGCAGCAACCGTGTCTCAGTTGCGCACGAAGGAGCATTGACATATCACTACGCAGTATGAATGCAATCGGTTGTCGAAGAGCTAGTCCGGGGTCTGCAGGTTCATCCTGGCTGGTGATTCGACAAATTTGAAGCGACGCCGCAAAGTTTCCAGTGGAGGCAAGCATCCAATTGATTTTTGTTACCACATGCCTGGGTAGAACCAAGGAAACTCCCGTCAGCAACGCTCGAATCAGCAACTTGGAAAACCTTCGGGAAGCAAAGTTCGCCTATAGGCTATTGGATTAGAATGAAGGTCAATGCTAGATTTCCGGGGTTGGAGGAGCATTGGCGAAAGCCGGAAATCGCTCTCTGAATGGGTACCAAGTTCTTGATCAAAGGTCCAGGAATTACAAAATCCTTTCGATCACCCGAGGACGAATGAGGTGCTAGATTTCAACTTCTGATGTTTACCGATCAGAAAAATCGATTCAGTGAGTCTGAGGTCAAAAGCTCTAACTAAACCATGCGAACCATAATAATGTCTGCAATTGACTGGCAGTAAAACCGTAACAATTACTATGAGTTGATTGTTCCCCAAAATAATCCAAAACACTTAACTGGGGGGCTGTGGCTGCAAACCTAAACTTAGAGGCCCTATTATGTATTTATCAAACTAACTAACTAACTAACAGTTAACGGTGACTAAGCAACCAGCCTCAACATTCCACGGAGCCGCATTTCGCGCTCAAACGTCAACTTCAACCTCAACTTTCGCTGCTGGCAGTTAATTGCTCAAGTGCTTCGGTCAGACACCATTCTTCAGCTACATATTTGTCCTGGAAAAAAAAAAAAAAAAAAAAAAAACCCTATGCCAACCAAGTAAACGACTCTATTATGGTCTTTTTGGTAGCTACCTTCAAAGAGGGAAACTCCCAAGGTTTGTGCATCACGGCCAAGTCATTTGCTCCTCCGCCAGAAGCAACACCACCCTTAGAATGATCATCTGACCCCAAACCTCAGTCGATGTTGACCCCGAGCTAACTCATGGTTGTTTAGATATTCGCAGTCTTTGACCAGCATCCCCAGATATTACCGCTGCTACCTTCGTATCCTTGCGGTGATCTCTCCATCCCAGCATACCGGACCACCACTTCATTTGCTTCCACCGTCAGCAGCCTTTGTTACTTGTTACTGCGCGTTATTAATTCTCCTGCTGGCTAGGACACCAGCAGACACACAAGGTCAGTCTGCACAATTACATCATATCTCGTGCACTTGAATGAAAATGACATGGTAAACTTCTGGGATCTCGACATTCCTCCCCGTCCTCCCCGCATCCCAGGTATTCTGCAGACACTTCTACAAGAGGTTGGCCAATGAATACTGACCATCTGACCAGTAGTTCACCCACCACCACGTTTTCCTTTGGCTGTATATTATCTGCGCGAGATATTTACATACATTCATGCATAGCTAGATAATTCAGCTGCGTTGAAGGACACCTATCAGTTCTGGCTTGGTTTGGAATGCAGATCTCTCGGGAGGAAGCGAGCCGATAGCTAGCTGTTTCGTTAGACGACGTCGTGCATCTAGTTTTGAGCGAGGCTGGAAAATTTCAAAAAGAAGCTTGGGCAACAAAACGACTGAAAAAGTAAATAAACGCTAGGAAGCATTTCTCGCAGCTGTTGTAGAAGATGGCATCCACTTCGTTTCGTGACTCGATGAATTCCTTGGGTTGGGCTAGGAGGGAGCCAGAAACCGCACCTACAAACCGATCCTCGAACTCGATATTCTCGTCACTTCAATCACTTAACCCTTTTGCGGACCGCGGTTATATTCAACTTCCTGCTCAAGATGGTCCTGGAGCACCATTACCGCTCCCAACGAGGCGAGAGGAAGAGGAGGCATGGTTTGCTTGTGAGTCCCATGACTTATTCTTCATTAAGACCGTAGAGTCGATTTCATGTCATCTCTATGGCCAGGGTGCAAGTGACACACCTCAGTTCCTGCGTCCGCACGGTCTCACATGAACCTCTGCCGTAGGGTGATTTTGTCAGGACTCCAAATGCAATGGCAGCGTATTGTTCTCAGCTTCCCATTCGCGGTGTTCAAAATACTAACGTTTCTGTCTTGTTGCGCAGTAACTCGATGGGACCGAATGTTGATATTCGCCGGCTGCATGATTGGGTCTCTGGTGTGTTTTGGAATTTGCATAGGACTCATTTTATTCCCTTTGATATTCAGACCTAGAAAATTTGCAGTCCTGTAAGTTCTACCCCCTGTCTGATTCTGCGTTGAACTTTTTATGCTATGACGTATGCCCATTTTTTTTTCTTTTTTTACCCGCACACCACACACGGACAAGGCGCAGATGCAATGCCTCGGGGCTTGAATGACTCGAAATCGCTGCCAATATCGGCTTCGGCTTATTGTGGACCAGGGCCTTTCTTCATTTCATTCTCTGCACGTCAGCATACCATCGTCGGCACATTTATCCTACCCTCCGACGTTTTACCATTTCTTCTTGTTGAAATGCCAAGTTAAAACATCAAGCTCAGACGTCATTCTGTTGGGATTCAGGATGGCTCACATTTATGATAGCTAACATTTCTTTTAAAAGGTGGTCTGTCGGATCCATACTCTTTCTTACCTCCTGGGCCGTTCTAATGGGGGCCATACAGTATGCCAGGCATTTAGTGTCGGGGCCTCGCCTCCCTTTCACTGCCGCATATTTTATATCCATTGCCTTAACTTTATACTTTGCTCTCGGAGTAAGTTTTCCCTTTTGTTTCCATACTCCGGACTTTCATGCATATACTTCCCCATTTGGAATCATATCATAGCGTCCGCATTTGCATTTTATCCAATTTCCTCTTATTCGCAAAAAAGAGATACCTCATTCAGTCCTTCCCACTATTAACTCTATTCCACCCTCGAGTGTGGCTCGTGCGTGCTTCGCAGTTTTGAATTGGACATGTTACATTTCTCTTTCCCCCCCCACCAACCAAAAAAAAAAAAAAAGTTGCACTAATTTCTTCACCGCAAGCTCCACCGTGGTAATCATATCAGAAACCATAACAGGTTGCAAAGCAAATCTATGTTTCAATCCGGGCACTTTTACGTCTCCATCACACTAACTCTATCTCTATTCCATACCCTGTTTTTCTAAACATATCTTCAACATTTTCTATTTTAATCCCCCCGTCTCCGAAACCTGTCTGAAATCATTCCTTGCAAAGTCATCCGACTAACTTTTTTTTCTGACGTCACCAAACAGCTCCATTCTACACTCCTAACTTTAATATCCTCCATCTTCCAACTTGTTGCGCTTGTCTGGTATCTAGTTAGCTATTTTCCGATGGGTAGCACCGGCCTGAGACTAGCTGCGCGTGTTGGGGGAGGCAGGTTTACAGCCTGGATGAACGATTAGGGGAGATTTAAAGAATGGTGGGAGAGGAAGCATATTGATTATCGATGTAATACCACCTTGAGTTTTTATATTTGCATGATTGTTTGAACTAGCATAAGCAATATTTTGAATTATGTCTGCTGGTTATTTTCATGATGGAATCAGCAAACTGTATTATGATTGTTATATATACACTTTAGCTGTTGCCACTTAAAAATTTAGCTATTTTTATTGGATGTTTCTTTAAGCATTAGAGCAAAGCACATGAAGATTCCGTATGATGATTATTAGATAAGTGTTTTATCCTGTGGTAAATTTAGTTCCCCCTCTACTTTGATGATACATTTTCAAATCATCACTTTCCCTTTTGTCATCTCTTTTAGTTCAAGCAATGGATGGATGGAAGCTACCTACTACATAATACCGCTTATCAAATGATAATCTCAACCGCAGTTCATCAACAAGTATCGATATCATTTTTAAGAATGGAATAGGGAAACATTGATATCTTTGCAAGTAGGCAAGAGTGGATTGACACCATTCTCCTATCACCGCAATCCACCCATATCTTGGTAGGGAGTCGCGACGTCTCGTCTCATCTCATCTCATTCCTCCCTCTACTTACCATCTCTTCCCATCAATTTCAAATGTAGCACGGGTTTTATATGAATAACACGAAACATAGGATACAGCCTCATGGGAACGCAGCTAGGCATAGGAGATCAACGATAAAAATGAAGTAGTTTTCTAATGGAACAAAAATAATCACGAAAACCACCCATCCAATCTTATCCTCAACTCCATTCCCCCAGTCGGCCCTCTAAATCCGCAAACCAATTTCACCTCCTCAATTCCTCTCCAACAGTCCCCTCCAACACCGTAACAGAAGTTATCTTAGCTTCCCAAATCCCCGTCTCTCCCCCAGCCCCAATCTCCAGCCAACGCTTCAGCAAATCATTGCTCTCCTTCGGCTTCACGTTAGGCGCTGCAGTGCCAACCGTAATATGCGGGATATCATTCGCACAAGGCCACAAATCTCCCTCCTGTGGGCAAATGCGCACCACAAACGCCATGATCCTGTCATCCCACACCAGACGCTCGATTCGAACACGACAGGTGCCTAGGGTTGGGGTCTCGACGACATCACCGTTTGGTTGGTTGAGTTGCTTTTGGATAGCAGCTTTGTAAAGATCTTGGTAATGGGTCCAGATGGCTGGCTGGGTCAGTTGGGAGGCCCGGTGGATTAGGGTTACGTGGAAGGAGGGTTGGATGCGGCGAGAGTTTCGGAGGTGGTTATATAGTTTTGCTTTCTCGGGAGGGGTGGAGGGTGGGAATAGTGAAGAAAGCAGGTTGGTTATTTCGTTAGACTTTAAGGATATTCTAAAGTATTCGAGGTGTTTGGCGAGTTGATCTGGGGTTTCTCTTGGTGCTGGTTTCGAGTTCTTTATGTTTGAGAAGCTGAGGTCGTGCTTTGTCTCAACTTTGTAGTTCTTCATGACTTCGTCGATTGCGTCGTCTAGTTCGGATGAAGTTGGCAATTTACCGTTCATGAGTTTAGGGAACGTGGAGTGTAAAACTGAGATGACTTTTTCCAGGTTCTCACGGGAAGAGGCCATGACGTTTAAGTCGATTACTTCATCAAAGCTGTAATCAGGTTCAGATTCTATGTTTACGGCTTCGAATCGATTCAAGAAGCCTTCCATAATCGCAATGACGGAGTCCCGGCCTTTGCTGTTGGCCTGGATGGTCTGATGGTTATCGCCTCGTTCAAGAACTCTTGCCTGAGTAACTTGCCTGATATCACCCAGCAACATTTCCTTAGGTTCATGGACATAATGGAGAGCAACAAATTTGGCTTTTGGTACAGCCCTCTGAACATCCTCCATGATCTGCTTTCTTTCCCGCTTTTGGTGGTTGTTGCGGTCTGCGATGACAACCCTATTCGTTACGAGGGAATTGTTTACCTCCTGTGCAAATCGCTTTGGGCGGTTCTTGGGACCCTGAATATTATCATTCTGGATATGTCCCCAGCCAAATAATTTGACAAGAGCAAGAGCTAGAGTGGTTTTACCACACCCGATTGAGGCGACTGGGACTAAGACGACATCCTGTGTCACATTAGCAAGAGATGAAGCACCTTCTCCCTGATCTGATTCCATAGCAATAATTTCTGAGCCCTTCAGACCACGCTCTTTCAGGAAGCCATCTCTCATTGCTATGATACCATGATTTTGATTGTAGAGTTTGGCAAGCTGTGGGTTTTCGACGAGCCGCTTCTTTGCATAGTGCAGATATTCTTCCGTAATGGCCACATGCTTCTTGAGTTTTAACTGTCGTCCCGCAATCATGGCTTTGGTAGCTTCACGCCACTGCCGGTACATGAGATATGGTTCTTCGAATTTGTACTTAAAGAACCAGTCCCTGTACGGTCCAGCACCCCCTTCAGATATTTGACACCGGATAACGAATCCTTCAGTGTCCCTCCCATCCCACGATCCAGTCTCAGCACATTTCTCCACAAAGGTCTTCACATCAGATAGGGAATCCTTCATAAGGTACTGCGCCTTTTTGAACCCCCATTCGTCTGCAAATTTGTGAACATCGGGGCCAGGTAGGGTAGCAAATTGGGGAACATTGTAGTTGAGGCCATGGAGATAAATGCCTGCTGCCTGCTCATCGTACGCCAGAACATGTTCCTCAAAATGGTCATCACAAAGTTCTCCGACAGCTGTTAAATTCTTGCTTCTCAGGGCCTTGGCTAAATCTCCCACTGTCTTGCCAACAGAGGCTACGTGGTGCCTCACCCAGTTTTCACCGGCAACAGCGTGGCTGACAGTAACATCAGTTCTAGCGCCAGTCGAGTGCTTGCTGCATACTAGCAAGGTGCCATCCTCCAATCCAGAAATAAAAATAATACAGCCATTTTCCTTGACACTCAGCTCATATGGCCCTATTGTATTTGTTTCAATATTCCTCCACCGTGTCGAGTCAACCTCGTCAACATTAAAAAACTTATCGTACCCTCGAATGGCGATTTCATAATTGTTGTTCTTATTCCTGGTGGTAAATAGGCCGCGTGCATAGGTGGGCAAATCATCCCGCTTGTAATCCCAATCCTGGAACCTCCAAGAGTCCACGCTGATGTTATCTGATCCTTGAACGAGAAAGGTAGACTTCTTGCAGGAAAACGTCCGTCTTCCTGGACCACTTCCTCCACCTCTTCTCCTGCTGCTGCCGCTGGCAGCCTCTAAGCCATGAACGAGCTGGGCAACCTCGTCGATGTCTTGCTGCACCATGTTTTGAATGTATGAAAAGGAAAACTCTGTATATAATGAACAAAGATCAGGGGGAAATGGTGGAGGCGGCGGAGGCGGCGCCTTTTAGACCTTTAAGCCCAAAGTACAAGCGTAAGTGGCGACAGGGAACTGCCACTCCGGTTACATGGAAGGAGTCTATAAAACTATTTATTTGAAACTATCTGACCTAAAGATCATGACTCACGATTTCCATGGACCCGAGTTGGTGTTGGTGTAGGTTGTTCGAGTCTGTTGTTTGTGATGTTGTCATTGCTGCCGCCATTCATTGGAACCAATGATTGGTTGTTTAAACCCTCTGGGTAATAAGGTGAAACTAACCGCCTAAACTCAATCTGGCAAGTAGTGTCTATCTGTATATTTTGTGTCTTTTTTTTTTTTTTTCTTTTTTTTTTCTTTTTTTTTTTTCGCCTGCGAAACCACTCTTCAATTCATGGGTTTGTTACTCACATTTGTACAAGAATTCTCCAGTATATGTTTACTTTTTTAGCTCCTGTTAATTCCAACCCATTGCTCACTAATAAATCAATATTTTTTTTTTTCTATCTTTGAAACGATAACGATATTAACTTATTTGTTACGCATCATGTCCCCCGCCCAACCCAACGTCTTCGTTCTGGCTGCTGACAACTCACCCTCACTCCTCCCGCTTCTCCGGTCAAACCCTGCCCTAGCTTCTTCTCAAGATGAACATGGATATTCCCTCCTTCATGCTGCTTCCTCATACGGGCATCTCGACCTGCTCCGTGCCCTCGTTAAAGAATTTCAGGTAGACATCAATCTTGTCGACGAGGACGGAGAAACCTGCCTTTTCGTTGCGGAATCTGTTGAAGTAGCCCGCTGCCTAATTGAGGAACTTGGTGTGGATAGAGATCACAAAAACCATATTGGCGTAAAAGCTGAGGAGTCCATAGCCAGTGATGGGGATTTCCCATCCCTGATTCAATACCTAAAGGGCAGCCAGGCTGTAAATGATGCTTCCCAGATTCTAAATCCATCAACTGCGATTCCACCGAATGTCAATGTCAATATTGGAAGCATGCCTGACCCAGCTGCAAACGGAGACGAGTTGGTGGATCAAGAATTCAGAAGAAGAATTGAGGAGCTTGCTACTAGTGAAAACTTCCATGCCGAGGAGGGGCAACGGGAACTACGGAAGCTGGTTACAGATGCGCTAAGGGGGGTGAATGCAGAAACACAAGAAAGGGATGTTAGACGACGGATGGATTAAACGGATGGCTTTACGAGACGCAAACTCGGAGCATGTACGGGATTTCTCAATACCTATCCCAATGTCTAAATAATACGGTGCGTTCCACTGTGAGGATGGCGATTTACCTCGCAAAAGCCTGAACACTTCCTCTGAGCGGGAAGGCTATGGCCAGGCCAACAGCAGAGGATACACTGGCCTGAAAGATAATCTCTTGTGGTATTCTATTGTTCCTACGCAGGGAGCTCCATGACAGATTTCCCGCTGTTAATGTCATTGGCAACTCGCGGTCAGGAGCTCGTGATAGGAGTTAGAAGACGATTATATCCTGAATTAATGCAGGATGAAACCCGATTAGCAACGATATCCTCCTATTTCGAGATGAGAAGAGGAGATATCCCTGTGATGCTTATTTCACGATTGAAGTATTATGGCTGAGCGACTGAGGGAGCAGGGAAGAGAAGCTTCAGAATTTGAGTGCAAATTCTTGTACTTAGCGCATGCTCGCAGTCTATTAAAGTGAAGGCTTGCACAATGCTAGATATAAAGCTCACAGTCATAGCAATTAAATGATAATAAAAACACTGTGAAGCATTTGATAATTTCTGTGGATATTCATACCCTGTAAATAAATAGGTTGCTCGACTAGATCAGGTGACATCATTCCAATTCATTCAATCGCCTTAAGGAAATCAACATCAACTCGGCAACATCCAATAAATCTTCTGTAAGCTATTAATCCTCCCTCTCAAACCCCGGTCTTGTTCTGCCACGACTTCAGGATGTCTTTACCGCCTGTATCGTATTCTCCGCTCTCCTCATCATACCCAGGGAACCCCAAAAACTCCAACTCGTACCTTGACACCGAAACTCCCCCGCCTCCGCCGCCGAAACCTAGCAGTCATGAAACGAGTCGAATAAACACACCTCAGACAGGCTCTCCTCTCCCCCTCCCTCCTCTGCCGTCCGGCTCTATACCTCAAGAATCCAATATATCTATTGCAAATGCGCAAGGCCAAACAAGTCCGCAGGGAGATCCACCGTTAACTTGCCCTGCCGATTCCTTACCAGACGACGCATTCTCGCCGACCACCCTTCCGCAACCCCCAGACATAGATGACGGCTGGATCCCAGATAATTTGAAAGACAAATCGTACGCTGTCCCCACATGCGATAACCCCCATTCACACCTCCTCCATTCCACAGCTAACCGAAAACCAAATTCACAACCCACAGAACGACAGACCTCCAGGCCATCCTCGAAAACCCCACCCTCCTCCACGCCCTCTCAACCACCCACGTCTCCTACCCAGCCACCCAAGCCCACCTCACCACCGTCTTAGCTTCCAACAAACAGCTAGCAAACCACCTCCTCTCCCTCGAAAGCCACTTGCACTCCCTGCGCGACTCCACAGAATCCCTCCTCCTCCAGCACCAATCTCTTGAACTCTCGTGGCGTAAGAAGCAGAGCGAGATGGACACCGCGCTGGAGCCTTGGTCTCCTAAAGCCCTGTACCAGCGGCTTGTGGCGGGTATTACGGAGCAGGAAGCTGTGTGTCGTGCGGTTGAGGAGAGCTTTTTGGAGAGTGAGGGTGATAGTGAGGGGAAGGCGAGTGAGAGGGAGGTTATGGAGTGGGTTCGGAAAGTGAGGGGGGAAGGGGCTAAGTTGGAAAGTAGGAGGGAGATGAGGGCTAGGTGGGACGAGGGGAGGGTGGGAGGGTGGAGGTAAATTTGAGCTTTTATTTTGGTGTGGTCCTGGTTTGTTATATATCTCTCTATCTCATGGCTTGGGGGCGTTCCGGCCCCTCTTTATTTCCATTTTGAGAAAGGTATGTCATATTATACGTTGCCTTGGTGTTGGTTCTTGTTCTGAATATTTTTAAGGATTAGTGGGAACTTGAATCGCTTTTTGATATCCCAACCCAGCGCGGTTTTTATATGATACCGTTTTAAGTTTATGGAGATAAGAGACATAAATCCTTGTTTCTTCACATTTCTCAACATAAACCGGAATAGAGAGAACAGATTGGCTCTGGAAATAGAGAACCCGAGATAGAGATATATCAATCATAAGGTATATAAATCAACCACAAAAGGTATATAGAAATCATAAAACTCTATCAATGGAGCGTAATTAAGCATGAATAGACAGCCGAAAAACGCCGCCATACCTTTCCGAACCACCAACAGGAAAATCAACGGTATAAAGGCGAAAACGAGAACAAACAATCCGCCTTCATACTTTCCTTTCCTCAAACATTACTCTCCACCCTATGAACCAATTCATTCGCACTATCCGGTTGCAGAGGAAACACATCACCCGCTTTCTCGACCTCACCCCCGGCATACCCATTAACCCCGATCCCCACATAGAATGCGCGTTCGGGACTGCGTGCGCCCCAAGCCCATCCCCCACCGCCCGAACTCAACGGCAGATGATACCAGCGGAACCCCAACCAGGCGAAAGAAATCCCCATCAGGGCGCCAAAGAGGATATCGAAGCCGAAATGGCGGTTGTCGAACCAGCGGGTGGATGATATATATGCAGCGGCAACGATGGGTGCCGCGGCGACGAGGAGAAGGTAGATTGGTGGGGCTGCGGATTGGTTTCGGAGTGGGGTAGGGGAGGATTTATTCTTTAGGTTGGGAGGATAGGAGGACCTGGGATATAGGACGTCGGAGCAGGGAGAGTTTGGGATGTAGTTGCTGTCGACTGAGAAGGCGGTTTCCCGGGTATCCTGGGTGTAGGGACGTGGGGAGAGGTAGGGGATTGAAATGGAGAGTTTTGCACAGAGCCAGAGGGTTAGGTATGTTAGGCCGGCAAAGGAGACTATGAGGGAGGTTATTGTCGGTATGGTTGCATATCTTGGTTATTGTGGGGAAGGATTGTAGACAGGGGAATTCTGGACATACTGGAAGCATGCCCGCTAGGGAAGCTCAAGAAACCATCTCTGGTGAGTCTTGTCGTTTTATTCTGGCAGATATTATATGAAACTAGAAGCGGTGCGCCCCTGAGTCTTCTCCCCAGCCCTCCAACTATATTAACTGCAATTTTGGGTATATCGGGGTTACAGCGATTGATCAGATCGGGCCTTGGTTTCCCGCAGATAACTTTCAATGCTTCTGTAGCCGCATACGCCCCTCCGATTGCAAGACCCAACCCCATCCATCCAGCATTCCACTCCCATAATTTGCGCCGCCATGCTAATGAGGCGGGCACATGTTTTCCCGCTGTGAGCCCGGGGATAAGAAGAAGGCTCAGTATAAGAATGGTAATTGCGGGAACAAAAACGCTAATCAGGACCAGCACCCTGGAAGAAACGGCTTCCTTGGCGGTAAATGGATAGGATATGCTCGGGTCTGTGAGTGAGAATGGGTTTCTGTTTGGTTCTACGGATTTAAAAATGCGGCCCGAAGCGACAGCTAACCTATGTCCAGGAATTCAGTAAGATTCTACATCTCCATTTTGAAACATTCCACTGTTGGTTTGGGGGGGGGTTGGGAACGTACAGTATTAATACCCAGTCCAGCACATAAGAAGCCACCACCCGCCGAGAAACCCCCCAAGCACTAGGGTTCCACTGAAGATTGGCAGGGCTGCTCATTTAGCTCAGACGAAAGCTGCTGGGTGGTAACTGCTGGGTGGTAGTTATATGTAACTGTGAAATGGCAAAAAGCAGGCAGTATATCAAACGAAATCAATGTAATTGAAATGACAGAAATTGAACTTCAACGATGCGCTGGCCTGAAATATATGGTTCCACCAAGGGTGCACGCAATTCGAAGTTCAGCCAACCAGTCAACCAGGAAGGCTAACTATTCAGAAGCAGACCTGAAAGGAGTGTTTTCAAACGTGGCGAAGCAACGTTACGGACACTCGGGCATTGGCATTGGCTATTTGCGGGGTTCAACAACCGGAAATGGAGTGGAAGAAGAGCTCTGAACTTTATTGTCGAAGTTAAGCTATGGCTTTGGCCGAGCTCAAGGTTAGAGTGACTTCTCCGTAGTTACGGTATGTTACTTTGCACTAGTCGTCATATACTTCTTCCCATTCCCTTCCCCGATCCCCAAGCGAACTTCCCACCTCAATGCACGAGAATGCAACCAATTCGCAATAGGGGAAAAAATGGCAAGAAAAATCTATAGAGATAGAAAGGGAAAAAAAAAAAAAAAACAGTCCCAATTCTGTGAAGATGCATGTGTATTTGAAAGTTTCATGTCCTATTCTGTGCCATCTACTTACATAACCCAGCCTGAAGATGACAGGCTTGTTCGATGGAATCTTAGACCTAGCTGCAGGATTGGCCCCCTTTGGTCAGCATTTGTGGAGAATATGATTAATCCATGCTCTCTCATAAACTTAGTTGTTGGAACCCAATAGCCGGGCATACAGTGCAATGTCTGGTGTACAAAAGGTTGAAGCCTGGCTTCTAACTTAATTAGATATCCAGATCTTAATAAAGAAATAATGCCAGGAACAGGACATCATACCAAAGATCTCCAACTGTGGCTTAGAGTCTATTTGCCTCCGGCGAACCAGAGCCAAGGTAAACAGGGACTGACAAATACGCTTTCTGCCCAGCCAAATACACTCCACAAAAATACCCTATTCTTAAATCAAACATAGCGTTATACACAGCCGAACACCCAAAATAATCCAATGTAAGGCAGCATGTGCCCAACCCATCAATTCACTATTACTAATAAAATTTATCTGAAATACTCTTCAAAATCATCCCCCAAAATATCCAAAAAAAAAAAAAATAATAAAAAAAAAAATAAAAAGGTTTCTCGCCTGTGAAGTGATCTCGTAGTGGGGATTTCCAGACAGTTCGATTTCTCCGCCCTGGGGAACGCAGGGTGGAGGTTAGGGTGGCGGCTCATTTTCTTGAGGATTCTTCAGGGGCTACGGGGGCTGCAGACGGGTGACTAGCACCGCTGCAGCCCGCCCGGCATCTGTCATGTAGACTGTATGCTGCTCAGCAGCAAACGGGAGGCGACTATGAGGTGTTTATTCACCATCATATCATGTTCCTGTTCTTCCATCCGAGTGCGTGTAGGCGCCCTCTGTATAGTTCCCCCAGCCGCGGCCGTGCCCCATATACCCATACCCCCAAGACCCCCAAGGCCCCATTCCCTGATCTGTGTGCAGTTGGGCACATGCTTGACTGCATTGGAACACTGGTTATTTTGGGTGTACGGCTGTGTATACGCTATGTTTGATTTAGAATAGTGTATTCTTGTGGAGTGTATTTAGCCGGGCAGAAAACGTATTTGTCAATCCCTCCCAGCATCTCGGCAACCCATTCCAGCACCCTTCCCACTACATAATTACCATTCCTGACCATGGAGGGTCCAGTCAACAATAATGAGCCACCGCCCACAACAGGCCCCCACCAAACTACTAGCTCCCTAGAAACTTCCTGGGATGGCCCCACTGCCCACCCATCATGGAAACCAACCTACCTCTTCGTCTACGGCTCACTCATGGACCTGGATGTTCTCCAATACGTCGTGGGCTCACCCCGTCGACCACCTCCTCTCCGTCCTGCACGGCTCAAAAACTACAAGATGAAGATGTGGGGAATTTACCCAACTCTCATTCCTAGCAGCAACGACAGCAGCAGCAACAAGAGCAGTGGTAATGAAAGTAGAGGTGGAAAGGAGAACGTCGATGAAATCTCCGGCGCACTCTATTTAGTCGAACACCCAGTACAGTTCGCTTTGCTAGAGCAGTATGAGTCGAGCGCTTACACATGGCACCGCTGTGTCGCCGACTTCACCGATGATGGCGGGTCGACGACAGAGCAGAGCGGGTTCGAATGCCGGACGTTCGTCTGGCGTGGGGACCCGGATAGTGCGGAGTTGACGGATGGGAAGTTTGATCTGGAGGTATACCAGAAATATTACAAACCCGAAATACTTTAAGAGGGAAGTTGATAGAGGAGAGAGCGAGGGGCATAAATCCCTCAGTTAGCCGGACTATAGATCATTATCTTTGGCAGTCGTAAAGAGTTCCAGCCTGCCTGAATTCAAGCAGCAGTATATTTAACGAAAAGATCAGTGGGCAATCATGGTTTCGTAAGGTTGTTGGGAGATGAGAGCAGAGAGAATGTTGTTATTGGATGGAAAATGAAGTGGAACTGCAACCGAAAATTTTCGGTGATCTAATATTGTCATGCTAGTTAAATTATACAACCCCATCCGTATATAAATCAGTCGATGACGTGACCAGCAACATGCCCCCTTCCACAACCTACTTCTGCTTTCCATCCAAATCGGCGAAGAAGTCAAAGCCGAAATCCTCACTCGAATCATTAAAACGGCGCTTCTTATCGATCCCGTCAATCTTCTTGACATCTTCCTGATCAAGACAAAAATCCCCCTGCAGGTTCTGCTTAATGCGGTCCGGCGTCTTGGACTTGACAAGCACAGAATGGCCGTGTGCAATTCCCCATGCTGTCAAAAAGGAGTGGAAACACAAATCCCGTCAACGTCAGCAAGACAGGAGAAAAAGGAAAATTTAAAAAAACCGCACATACCCAATGAAACCTGTGCAGTCGTCTTCCCGGTCTTCTCCGCTACCTCCTTGACAACAGGGTCATCAATCATTCTCCCCACAGACTCATGATTGTATATATCATTCTGGTTCCCTAGTGACGAATACTGCGTGACATGTATCCCCCTATCGGCCAGGAATTTCACAAATTCCTTCTGTTGCAGCCACGGATGAAGTTCCAGCTGGTGCACGGCGGGCACAATGGAAGCTTCTTTTAGCAGCCGTCCCACCTCCGCCTTGGAAAAGTTGGAGACGCCAATGGCTTTGGCTTTACCGGATTTTTGAAGATTTTCCATAGCTTTGTACGTCTTTATTGTGTTTTTCGTTGTTCACGGATTAACTTCCTATCCGAATTAAAGCCGGGAAATCACAGAAAACTCAATTCAAGAAGCGAACATACATCAACATAATCATTGTTCTCCGTCTTCGGATTCCCCTGCCCGTCCTTTGGGAACTTCGCATCCCCACGAGCAAAAGCGACGGGCCAATGCATGAGATATAGATCCACGTAGCTGACCCCTAGGTCTTTCAACGACTTGTCGATGGCTGACTCGACATCGTCTGGGTGATGCTTATTATTCCACAACTTTGACGTGATAAAGATCTCCTCCCTCGAAACTCTACTTTTCTTTAATGCGCGTCCAATGGCAGCCTCTGTTCCGTAACTGAGAAGATATAGATAGAGTGTATGACAGTGTCAACTTTAGAGATGGTTCTGGATATGGGCAATGGAAGATGATTTGAAGGGGTGAGTCCCGTACATTGCAGCTGTATCGATATGACGATATCCAGCTTCCAAAGCGATCAGGACTGCTTTCTCCTGTGCTTCCTGGTCTTGCCAGGTACCCAGGCCAATGGCAGGGATAGAGGCGCCTGTGTTAAGCTTGAATTTCGTTGAGGAGGCGGCCATGGTTAGTGTTCTGGAGGAAATAAGAATGACTACCAGAAGGGCGGGCAGTATCTGCTTTCCCTTTGATTCCTTAAGAAACTAAAATGTGAAAATTAAAATACAGAATTGAAGTTCCTATCCTGATTGCAATGAAAATGTTTTTTTTTTGAGTGTTTAGAAGGAGGTTTTGTTTGCCCACCAATTACCCCCACAAACGTCATATGAGTTGGAAGTTGCAAACGGGGGGCAACTACGGAGAGTAAATGACGTCCGTATGAAATAATCAACTCTAAACTGTGCCAGCTCATCCTTTTTGTTATGAAAACAAATTGAACTAGCAAACATGTATCCCATTTCTTGTTTGATGTTTATAATGATATTCCTTTTCCGTTTTCTTTGTTGGCCGTTCTCTCTGGCGGTTCATTGCATAGACAAAGACAAGAACATTGTCTCCAATCTCAGTTCAGCGCATTATCTTCTTACCAGTGGGACTCTTTAAAAGCTTCGGGCGTGGCCGTATGGTCCTGTCAAGTTGTCCCGCTGAAGAATTTCGAAAACGGCAAACATCGCCAGAATGTTAATGTGCTCTTTGCTCGCGAGGACACTCGCTGGGTTCTTTGTACAGCAGACTAACGGTGTATTCAAGCCTGATGATTTCAAATAGGCCAATTTAGCTGATCGCAGGAGTTTCTCTCCTCAAAATATCTGCATCGACTCTGAGAGGAATTCTTTCTCGAGAGATTCCATTTTCTCTTTATCGAGACAAGCACAACTATAGTTCATCGCTAGCATCCTTGGAATTTTGAGGGAGATTCCTTTGCTTCGAGTAGGTATGTCAATATCGATTGTGCTCAGCACCCTCAGTGTTGCAAGGAGATAAAAAAGGGACACATTATCAAACAAACAGGGCGGGACCAGAAAATAAGAAGAAAAAATAAAGGACCTTGGTTCTCATTTCACGGAGGCAAGCCAACCATATTTGAATAACATTGTGATACTATTCCAGTCCAAAATTAAGGTCATGCGGCGAGCTAGCATGGATATGACACGATTCTATTCTCAGAACATCCCGGTCAAGCCAACCTTTGCAGGATCCCACTCAGCTAGAGTTCTGGACATGTGCAATACATATAGCTTGATGTGAGTTACTAAACTGCGGTTCGGCTAAAGATCTGCTAATTGGGTCAGAGTTAGTTAATTTTAGGTGAGCGTTACTAAAATTAATAGCCTTCTATCCTGCAAAAAAAGTCTTCACTACTGCTGCACATGTAAGGCAGTTAACATATAGCTAGGGCTGATGGATTGTGATTAAGCATTTTATCCCACAAGCAGGGAAGACTCCTTCGGGATTCATAGTCTGTATAATGTGTTCATCTTCTACTTTTAAGTTTGTCACAAGTGAAATGCTAACAGGCGGAAATGTGGCTCTGTTGTGAGTGTGGCTGAGGTGGAGTTGATGTTTTGAACATATCAACACGTAAAACTATTATTACAAGGAACAGCTGAAAAGCTTGGAGTATTCCCCAAAATCAGAATAAAATCCAAATAAAAACATTTGTCCAGCATCCACTTTCTACAGCTGAAGACGTGCCATTGCCCACTGTCTGCGGGCATGCAAATCTCGATCAATCCGCGTCAGCCTCATGATTTTCTCAAGAAACTACGGAGGGGTAGTTAGTTGGTTGGACGAGCTCTTGAAATCCTCAATCCCCAGCCTGAGCTGCTATCTACCGTAAAGTCCTTGGAGAATAACCTCGATGGCTTATTTGTATCAAGTCTATGGGCATCCATGACTTGAGAAAATGATCAGAAAATGAGGATTATCGGCCACATCTGAGCTTCACCCAGCCAGCAGCATATAACAAAGAGATGCTGAAGAAGTTATAACAATGATGACAATGAATCGATCCTGCTGAAGCACTGTTGAATCCTCAATAAACACAAGAAGGTAAATTTGGTTTTGGTTGTTATACTGTGCTATTATAATTGTTGGCGCCATCATTGCCTAATAGCCAAGCAGAAAACCAGCAGGTCTCGAATTGATGAATGGCAAAAGAGACTGACCTTGCAAACCTGCCACGACGCAGTTTTAAAAGCCACAGATCCCAATCCCCAATCGGATCTGAAGAAAAAATGTGCCCAGGAAAAAATTGTTCCAGGACTGCCCAGGATTCGTCCTAGTGGCTGCCGCCGTCGATAGCCAAGCCAACTGTCCAAGACGCCAAAGAGGACGAGTTCTTCTTACAATAAGAGATTCGCTAAGGTTGATAGGCTTGCTGATCTGCCACAGCACTAAAATGCAGACGATTTCTTTCTGCGCGTCTTGGAGCAGCGGTCTAAGCCCCAGCCTCAGACCCTTGGAACTATACTTTAAAACGTTTTTGCAGCGATTATTGTGCGATTTTGCGAACTTCGTAACCCCTAAGTCAAATTGGCACTGCTAGCCTTGAGACCTGACGGAACACTGTCAGGGGTGCGTTGCCGGTCGCGTTGTGTTGCTTTGCTTACATAGGGCGTGAGCAGATATATAATATATCAGGCCAGTCACCCGTCAGCCAATTTCTCCTTTCTGCAAAAATTACCCACCAGCTTCATTCATACCCAAGTTAACTCCAGGAAAATCTTCATTATCCTTCACATCCCCAGAACCACACACTACATACCCTTCATCATGCAATTCAAACTCCTCACCATCCTGGCTCTCACCTCGTCTTTTGTCGTAGCTGACGAGGTTGCTGGCCGTGATCTTCAAGACGAACTGTATGCATATCCTTCCATATTTCCCCCTAACAAATATATATGTAATCTAGAAGAGGAAAAAGAGAAAGAGCCAGAAAACTAATTCTCCCGAAAACACAGTAACTCCATCGGCGCCGGTATCGTCTCACAAGTGAAAGGCAACATCGACTCATTTGCAACCATCCTCGCCAGCATCCCATCAGATGTTATGTCCGTCCTCATTACCGCCGTTCCTCAGCCTACCGGCACTAACCTCAGCGGCTACTTCGACTCCCTCATCAGCGATGTCAAGGACGGCAACCCTCCGGCCTGGTACACCGGCCTTCCCGATAATGCTAAGATGTTCCTCAGTTCTAAGGCCTCTCAGCTAGCTACTGCAGTTCCCACCGACACTGGTCCCACAGCAACTGGCAACGCCGCAACAACGACTGGCGCCAAACCGACCTCAAGCGCTCAACCAAATGGAAATGCTCCAGCCAGGCCAGCAGGTGCCATTCTGGGCGGCATTGCTGGCGTAGCTGGTGTGCTTGGTCTAGCTGTCCTGCTGTAAAGGTATTGATCTGAAAGGAGGCTTGAAAGTTAAATTTCGTGGAGATGACGCAACTTGCTAAGTTAGACAGACGGTATCTGGTGTTTTCTTCTCTTTTCCTACTGTTTGTTCTTTTACATTTAGTCAATATGTTTTAATGATATCCGCGGCTTACGCTGGTTTGTCTCTCAAATTCTAAAATAGGCCATGGTTGTATACAGCCTAATGGCTCATGGGAAGTGAATGCATGGGTTTGTATTATAAGTCCTGTTTATGCCACTGTTATCCATCTTTTACCCTCCCACTTTTGTTCCCCCCCAACCATGCCTTGATATCACAATAGTTTATTAGGGAATCGCTTAGTCACGATGGTCACAATACAAATTGGAGAAAAGTCATTTTTCCATTTCCTGCAAATGTCCATATAAAGTTGACCACCCTGGCTATTTCGCCCCTGACCTTCGCTTGAAAAGTCGATCATCGGATGTATGCCAGAGTAACCGAAGGTAATACAGTATTCAATCTCCTTTTCCCTGCATGTATGACAACAGGAACAAGGAAAGCAGGCCTTTTTAAAACTTCTAATCTAGGTGTTCACAAGCCACTATCAACTTGGAACCGATGCAAAGGTTTGGTGAGATCTCATTTTTTTTATATTTTCCTATCTAAAGTGCGTTACGCCAGCTATTAAGGATCAGCAAACGGTACTTTTGAGATAATTCTGGCTGATAGGTTGATCTATAAGTGGGCAGCATTGATGTGGGCTAGAATAATATATTTTTAAATAGTTACCAGGACACTTTATTATTACTAAAAAGGTTACGAGAGAATGAATGTGCACATATGGTCTCTACCGGCCTCCCGTATAACTAGCGTCTTCCCAAAAAAATTCTTTCTAATATTTTTGTTTTTCGTTTTTCCAGAACCGAAAAATATTTCGTCTTCCATCGCACAACATTCATCTCAGTCCAGCAGGTCTTTTCCGAGTCTTTTCCCGGAGCTACTGGTCTGGATTGAGAATGGCGTTCTTGATGGGGCTGTAGCCATTGCCATGATAGTTTTAATGACCAGCTAGGTAAGCTTCAACACTCGCAATCACCAGCGCCCATTCAATGATGACTCTCCTTATAACATGAACAATCCAAATCCTATTTCATCGTGACGGATGCCAATATTGCTATTAGAAAACCTCTCTGATATGCTCTCCGCTTGCCTATATAATTGTCACGCTCATGGTCATTGGTGATTGACTAACCCGTCGGTTATTAGGGTTTTTTGTGCATTGGCTTCCATTATATCTCACATATCAATACCTCTGTGGTTGGTCACACCTAAACCACCTATGTAAAAAGGTACGTTTGGAAACGCTGTTCCAGTTCATGTTATACCTTGCTGCTTCCCCATGAATTCACCCCTCCCTTCTATGATGACCCTATGACATGCGAAAGGCATTCCTCAAACTTAAGTTATCATGTGGAAACTGTCGATTTACAAGTTTCAGCCTTGTCTGATTATACCTCATACCTACCACTGCTTCAATTCAAAGTATCTAGTTTATACCGGTCTAAACAACATTGCTAACGTCTACCCTGACATTAGGTATGCTCTTGGTCTCTCAAACCATTCTAGCCCATTTTGCTCCCAACTATTCCATTCTTATGAAGAAGACTTGAACGAACGGGCGGACAGAACCGCATTCTTCGCTCCTCATCCAATACAAGCAGAGCGTACAAACTCTGCGGGTGATGGAATCGTTGGATTGCTTGTTGAGAATTCGTCAGCTGATTATTATGATACCGCCACTTGCATCGGTACCAATGGTAATGCCTCTGGAAAATAAATATAAACTAACGTGAATGCTTTAGGTAAATTCTATTTTTTCGATCTTTTATAAACCCCTCCCATTGTTGTGTATTTTTCGAGGACACTACACGCGGCTTTCGTCTTTTGTATGATGAACCATATTCACACTGTTTGAACCCGGCACCATTGTGTTTGGGGTATGAACGTACTTGCACTGAAAATTCTGATTTAATGAGGTATGTCCAAACCACCCTTCTTTCCTATTGGGCAACTTCTATCCGAAATCGAAGCTGACTGATGGGCTCAAAGCCTGACTCTAGACTATCCGCTGTTATTTGCAATTTCCGTTGGAAGTATTAGCATGCTTTGCTTAGTATTCATTGTCACTAATATTTTTTAACGCCATTCTAGTGACCACCATACGAAGTGCCTGTAGTTCAGCCTCGTATGATATTTGGTATGTATGCTGTTTCCTTACTACTTCAAATTTGCTGTCCAATCCAAATCCACTTGATGAACTCTTATTTTCGCTGTGTTCTTACCGAGTTTTTACTTTGAAGATCAACTATCATCTTGGAGAACTGATCCACACTCGTACACCCACGATATCATTTGATGTTCGGTTTGCAGTGGCTCGAACCTTGCTAACAGTTTCCATATAAGATTTCCCGTTAACGCCTGTAAGCTTCTTCAGTCGCAGCTTTGCCATTGAGTCACGTCTGTGGCTTTAGATAGTCCAACCTCGCTTTTAAAAAGCAATAAAACATTACATTTTATCTCTTATCCCATCTCCTAATATTAGTTATCCGTAGTTTATAGTCCCTATTCCACCCACAAGCCCTTCTTCTTGTGATACCCCTCCAAACTATCCCCACCATAATGCTGATGCACACTCTTCTTCCCCTCTGGCCAGCGTACCCACTGCGGCTTCGAGTCCGCAAGTATACACACCATCTCCTTGGGCACGGGCAGCTCCGTATCAATCGCGGATGCGAATGGGTGAATCAATTCCGGCCAATGGTGATCCCAGAGCCACAACATTGTGCTGCAGTTTGAGCAGAAGCTGCGTTGTGAACTGCAGAGTTCCTCGCGCGGGGTGCCGCGGTCTTTGATTGCGGTGTACTTCCTAGCGTGTATTGCGTATATGTGAGACGTGTGTGGTTGGCTTGCAGCATTATAACAGCACACGGGAGATGCGTAATCTATTGGGATAACACGTAGATATGCAACAAAGGAAGCAGAGACGCACTTAATTAACTCTTCTCCCTTGTGTATTTTGAGGGAGTCTGCGATTCCTCCCAGGTTCACGCTGCCGCTGTACCCGCCCACCTTGCGACAGATACTACAGGCGCATAGTTGGTAGGGAACCGGTGTGTGCGAGTCGACAGTAAATTCTACGCCACCGCATTGGCAGCTTCCGTCGAGCTTCCTGTGTATATGTTTGTTACTGCGATGCTTTTCTTTCCATTTAGCTTTTAAAGAGAGCGTATGCAATGGTGCTTATCCGATAACTGGTCCCGCAACAGGGGCCTGGTATGGATTCTAACGATGGCATATCAATCAAGGTAAAACGAGTTATTGTACTGACATCGGCATTTCCGTCAAATAGCGAATTGAAAGCACGAAATTATGTTATTGTTCCTGGAAAAGTAGCTGTTCTGTTCTGCGCTGATATATATTTATCTAGAATGGTGATAATAACGGGTGCGGTGTGCAAAGCGGTAAAGATGGTTTCCTCCATTTAATAGTCTAAATCATCCCATAGTTATATCCTTTTCAACTAGTTATGCTACCCCGCTCGCCGCAGCTTTCATCCGTTTGTTGGTCTGAACTTTTCTTAGTGGATATGATGTTATTGTGACGTTGTCGGGTTGTGTTAAAAGCAAGGTATATTCTTTTACACTTTCTAACGAGAAAGAAATTTCCCAGTTTTAAAACAGTTCTTGACTGGAATATACATTAATAGAAATACAGAGTTTTCAGCAATCAGCCGCTGGTCGTCTAGTTGGTTTATGGCACTGGACTGTAATATCTAATCGCTATCCAGGTGTCGTCGGTTCGACTCCGACCCAGCGGAGGATTTATTTTTGTAAGATTTGTTAATATTTTTTATTTTTTATTTTATTTTTTATTTTTTTTAATTTTTTATTTTTTTTAATTTTTTTGGGCACTTGGGGCCTTCAGTGGTTAGCTTACTATGGTTCCAACCTTCGGCCAACCTGCCATTTTCTTTTTTTCTTTGCCATTATATTTTGCCGTTGTCTCTTCATTGCTTGAGACCATCTAGTAGAGCAAGTACCAGAAAGTTGTGCACAGACCTGAGGCATTCAACCGGCACCAGAATCCCCAGGATAGATAGCTAACTGATCCAAGATGGTAATTTATCACAAAGAAAATGTGGAAAAAACATCCGACCTAAAGAACGATGGCGACCTGGTAACAAAACATAATCGGGCCAAAGCCTGACGCACGCATGGTCGATGAAATGGCTGAACTGGTACATTGTCTCAGATTTCACTTTATGGAATTGATATATCAGTCTTCTGATCGACAAATGTCACGTGCAGCTCTGCTCCAGGCTCGAAAACGCGATCGCTATGGATATAAATCTCAAATACTTGAGACACTCAGGGATGAAGACTGTATCACTCCAATGCAAGATGTTGAATTGATCGCGGAAGGCCCAGCGGTGAATTTGACAGTGACAGCAAGAAATCAACTAGATACAATTGAAAGGAATACTGTCAGACAAGCAGCTTCTAGCGTTCAAGCCTCGAGACTCAAATCAGCAAGTACTAGAAAAACGGCATCATCAACTATCAGGAACTCCAGACAACTTATAAGACTGTATCAACCCTGAATGATGGTTCTATGAGAGCTTTTCTGCTGTGAGAGCTCTAGAGTCAGGAAAAGTGATAAGAAGATGAAAGCAGGTTCTGTTAATTGCTTGCAAGGCAGACTATATGTTTGCGTAAACGTCTCTCACCGAGAAAAATCGAATGCTGAAAATCATTCACCCACACACACAGGACTGGTGCCTGTTTCACGCGTTCCCATGCAACGCTGAATTTGGACCGGCAGACCAATTTCTGCCAGTCAAAAACAGTCCGGCTCCGAGGCCATAAAAATTGAGTAGCAGGTGCCATTGGATCGCTAACCACCGATATTCATGGCGTATAAAAAGCAAACCACGATCATGCGCGATGGAGAGCTGGATAGCAGTGGCTAAATTTCGAATAGCCGCAAAGCGTAATGGAGGCAAAGCTTTATTGCAAACACTTCAGTCCGAGCTTTTCCAAGTTGCACAAGAAAGTTCTCAATAAATATCAGCGCTTGATCTCTATCGAAAATCTTATCTCAAGCGGGGAAAAACAGTATGTAGCTTCGTATTGATGTAGAACCGTGGGAGCTATTAAAACACCCTCTCAACTAGACACCTCCGAAATCTAAATTCCTTCAAGCTAATTAAGCTAAACATCCAGAATACGATCAAGATTACAGCGAATTGTGACTTCTCTAACTATGGGTTGCGTGACATCAGATAAGCAGTTGACAAAGCTAGCTAGCTATGTAGCTACAAGGCCCCAGTCAGGGAAATCGGGGCACCCCACTTGAAATTCTATTTTCAAACCTACTACCAAAAATTATTTTACCATGGCACAACGCCGTCCTTTTGGCTCCAATTAATTGGAACAGAGTTTCCTAATAAGAAGCTCGGCCCAATATCTATGCTCAGAAATCCGTTATCTTAGCTCAGACCAACTGAGGTTCCAACGCGATGGAGTTCCCGCATGACACCATAAGATTAGACCAGTTAGAACCTTGTATGCATGCACAACCACGCCCCTGGACCGGCTCGAAAACCTCCAGAACGTGACGGTAGATCGGTTCTAAAGTACGCACGCGATAGTTCGAACGCACAGAAAGATGCAAATGTGGCGGCGCGTTGGATTCTCTGATGAGGTCTCTGGTTGGACGGGTGGACGGACCTTTGGAGGATGAGTGCTACAACGTGGAGATGCTTACGCCTAACTAAGGATAAGAAGAAGCTTAGCAAGATGTTCTGGGCTGACATGGGGGGCCTATGTTACAACCTTGCCTAATCGATTGCGCTGGCATAGTTACGTCGACGTAAATTTTGTTGAAAGACAACTTTTGCTGCAGGATAGATTTAGACTGTCATAGAATACGGATCATGCACAACTTTGGCTCATCAAATCATCTGAAGGAAACAATTCAATGCTTCCCTCAGTCACCTAATCAACCATCCATCATCATTTTTGCGATAGCCTCCAAAAATGACTCCCTTTAACGCTTTCGCAAGAAAGCGTCATATCCCATCTCTCAATCTTTTTTTTGGCGCTTTTCATCTCTCTCTCATTCTCTCTCTACAATGTCCCTCTTGCTAGATGTCACATCTAATACGCTATTCTTCAGGTTCTCGTCTGGTTCTTCCAGCGTATTTGCAATCATTGCTATGGGTAGATCCTCGAAATTCATGAGGTTGTCGGTTGAGGCGTCAAGGTTGCTGACAAGCTGTGCTTCATCCACCTGGGAACAATCATCACTTAAATCTCATTTTCTCTTTCTCGAGACACAATTAGATCGAGATTCCCTGAGAGAGTGTACATCGTAGATATGGCGCTTAAGACCTGTTACGCCTATATATCTCGCGTCACGACGACAGGGGTAAGGACAGGCAATTACTTTCTCGAATCTCAGCTTATCCAGATGCTTGTTGTCAATATGAATCAAAAGTGTCGCATTTTTCATCCATTGTTTATATCGTGTTCCTGATGGCTCGGTATCATCGCCTGAGCAGAACGGACAGAATCAGTGAGCAACAAGTGCGTAGTGAAATGTAAGTAGACCGCATCGAAGTTGTAGATTGTACAGATGATGCTGACAGTGCTGGGTCCAGCCTGCTTCGTTGTTGAAAAAGGCCGCACAAAAATAACAAAACTCGAGAAATGTACGACTAACTCATCAAAGAGCTCTTCTACCATTTCAATATTGCTGCTGATAAGACGTGGCATTCAACGATTTTCTTCGACACTGCAGAATATGTTTTGCGCGGTCCTGCAGAGAGATACTAAATAACGTCAGCAGCTGGTAAATAGCGTATTGTATTAGAACCAAGCTGGACATTGGTATAGAACACACAACACATAGCCCATCAACTGGTGATAGTCCAGGATAATATGAAACTCTCTCTGCTGACATGCAGAGATTCACCATATCCTGAAGACACTGTCTGCCAATCTCACTATCAAGCGAGGTCTTTTTGAAGAGATTTTCCTTCAAGTAGCTCTGTCTCGGATTTATACTTGGTGTAGATATAGAAGAGGGTCCTTGTACCCTTCTCATTGAACTCATTTCCTGCCATGTATTCATCATAGCTAGCGTTCCACCAGCTAATGATGAAATCCTCTATCTTTGATCAAAGTTTTTTTGCCTTGGTATTGTACAATATTGACCGCTCAGATTTCAATTCCAGATTATTCATCTGGCTTGCCTGCGAGCCGCCTGGTCAAATCAACAATATTTTCGTTGATTGAGATGATTTCCTCATCACGCTCAAACTCAGCAATGACCTTGGCATTGAGGTTTAGAGGAACATTTTGATCTCGATGATGAGCCATACTTCGTTCCATGTCTTGGCATTCGTACTCTGGCTTGCTTAAGATCTTAAAATAAAGCTTGCATATCCAGAGACTTAAGCTGTGACTGATATTTTACAAAGTCTGCCGGGTTTTTATGATTGAGGCCCTGATTCCGGGCAGCTGTCACGTATTTGCTGAAAGCTTTTGTTAGCTTGATTCGACTGGATTTAAGGGAATGACATGCGGTTTATTTTGTTCGCCATTTCGCTCCAAATACCGTGAATCCGTATGTGATCCTTGAAGCCATCACGCTGCGCTAAACATGTGATGCTATGTCGTAGTGATGAGAAGGTTAAAGCAAGATCGGGGTCACGTCCTTTTAACGGTAACCATGCGAAAGAAGGGACCGTTCTCGACATTTTCATTCCATTGAAGTGTCCAAGACTCTTTGCCCCTTGGTGGATGCTTTCCCAGCAGCTCGTTGATCGCCGGGATTCCTCTGAATGCATCATCTATAATTCCAATAACACCCACCCAAAATAAACCTTCAATCCAAGCACTGGGTGTGAGTTAAACCAGGTTTTGTGCCTAGGCACATGAGCCACTTGAATCATTTAGCAGATGGTAGGGGTTATGGAGGTACAACAGTTCATCATCCCGGTAGTGATAGCCCCTTTAAAAACTCGGGATTAAGGGTGACCCAGCATTTTTCGTCATCTGATCCTCCTGTCCATTTGATATTGAAGGTAAGATGCTTCAGTAGTGTTAGGTTGAGCTTTCACTAAGTTTCTGGTCATTTTCATCTCATACCCTGTAGTAGAGGCCACTTATTTGAATTTCTGTAACTTCTTGATTCAACAATGACGCCCGCTCTAGCACCCGAGCTAGCAAAGAGGGAGAGTGCAGCTCCAATCTGATCTCTTGCAGCACGGAATCATGATTATCATCACCAAATAGATGATTTTAAAGATATTCGATGTCTTAATGCGTTACCATGAATCTTTCTCGAATTCGTGTTGATAAGTTGTACTTGTCTCTTAGCTGAGTTCTTATATACTGTGGTCTATTTAGCATTGCAGAAATAGAAATAGAAATTAATATAAGAGACAAGATACCTCAAGAACATCCTTCTTTATATCCTTTTGAGAGAGTTCAACCAGTTTTGCGCTCCCACTTCGACGACTGGAATGTAGTTAAAGAAATCGCAAACAGATTCCAGAGAAGGAAGAGTCGTGTGATATGCAATTAAACTTTCAGCAAATAGCTTTAAGAGTCTGTGAAGTAGGACCAGGCTCATTTTTATCGCATTGAATTAGTAAGAAATCATCTCACTTCGTTCATCTGCAACTCACACTGTCCAATCCACGACAGCTCTCTCTTGTTTTAACTCAGTGGCTGGAGCAATTATTCGAAAGCAGATGATATTGTAAAACCTCGAGACACGGGCACTTTGTAGTCGCTCTTTCACCTTATCACTGAGCATGCCATCCATGATGATTGCATGATATCTCTTAGAATCGAAGAATCAAGAAAGGAAAATGAAAATGAAAATGATGGACCATTAAATAGCTGTAGTTTATGTCTTATTAATATATCTGTGCAAGTAGACTTGATGAGCAGGGTGAGTTATGCCTCCCTGACTCACCCCGCTAACACCCATGAGTTCAACCGTCTCACCCATACTCACCTACATTCATCTACACTCACCCTAAGATCATGCAACTGAGATTCTTCAAGCGCAGCAAGTTAGAGGCTCGATGGGCTGTCTGCCTCGTTTGGTAGCAGCTTGAGTAGGGCTGAGAGGACGGGAAGCCCTATATGTATTCCGCTCCCTCTGTTCGTATGAAATGGAAGATTGTACGAGAGAGGGTCTTAAGGGGGCTATCGAGGGGGGTTGTCTACTAAGAACTCAGTTCTCTGCGGGGGTAGTCTCCTGCACCAGCACAACCACGCCAACTCCGGAGCCCTTCCTGGCCGCCGCATTCACAGCGGTTGAATAGTAGCAAAAACAAGCAAAAGCATGGGTCGGAGTCGAACCGACGACACCTGGTTGGCGATAAGGATATCACAGTCTGCCGTAAAGCAGCGAGACGATGAGCGGAACGTTAGGTATTGGTCAGCTGACGGCTCGATTTCAAATCTCCCGCCAGGTGTTTGCAGCGTTTGCATGCTCCAATTGAGCTCCAGCGGAGCCGGGAACATTTCCTGCAAAGTTGGCCTACAAGCATTGGGGTTGATATCAACTCAACCATCACCTTCACCTGCCGGACTTGCCTGTCATATATCCGTATCCTATTTTGGCATACATATATTATATATAGGGGGGACGAATTATTTCATATACTATCTGAACCATGAGTTTTGGCAGTCCCGGTGGTCGTTCTGTCAATATCAAACCCAAACCGTGTGTATTCTGACTCTTTACAATGCGCCCATAACATACCGCCAGGGAGAGGATGTAAACTTGATTTATGCTTTAGTGTTTTCTCTGCGTTGGGTGAAGGTTGCTAATTTCATTTTGTTACCGGTTATTTAGGCCAGAGCGTGGAAGTTTTCCGCTTGATCATGACGGTATGTCCGTCACTTGATTGACGTGCTGATCTATGTATTCATGAATCGATGCGACTGTTACTGATATTTGGTTACTGACTCCTTTGTTTTCGACTTTCAGGAGAATGCAAATTTATCATTTCATCATATCTTCAATGCTTGAAGAAAGGAGGTGGTGTGAATGATGAGACTTGCCGCAAGTTAGCCAAGTCCTATTTGTCTTGCCGCATGGATCAGTATGTTACTTTTCTCCATTTCCTCTGTTTCTCATTATATATCCGACTTTTTCCATCATTTGAAAATTAACATATTTTACTTTAAGCAATTTAATGGCTCCAGAGTGCTTTGAGAATCTGGGGCTGGTATTCGACGAAGACAAGAAGAAAAGGGAGGAAGCCAGTGCCTCTACCACAGCAGCTTCTGAGAGCAAGAAACCATCTACATGATATGGTCTAGCTTAGAAGCTCCAGGATATCGACCGGAGCCAGAATTGGGTATATCCATGTTGTACGATCTATATGGGGCATAGGGCGGAGTTGTTGTCCATTCGATTCGTTGGGCGTCAGCGGCAGGTTGCTTAACGGAATTCACTAAGCTAGGCAGAAAGGAAAATCACCACTTCCATATGATTTCTGCCTCATCTTTGAGGGTCTAATTTGCAAAAAATGCTTGTTTCGCCCTTAATTCTGAATCCATACTATCAGACGCGGCAGGCGGACGCGTAAATTGGCGCCCGGTCTCATTTCATGTTGTTGTTGTGTTGTTGTAACAAGGGATACGGCCTGCTAGGACTCTAAAATACGATCCTTATATCTGGCATATTTCTTTGGGGTAATCTTCCGGGCTAGTCGTGGATAAAATTAGCCATGTATCGTGAATATCGAAGCGGGGAGAATAGTGGTGGGTGATGAGCTCTAAATGACAGTGGAGAAAAATACAGCTCGATTGTTGAGACCTAAGCCAAAGCCGGGATAGCTAAAAAGAATGGGCATCTTATCAACCTCTAATTTTCAAGGTCATAGGACATACAAATCAGACAGACATAGATGACCGCAATTTAGAAACACAATTCTTCGTAGCTACCAGCTTACTTGTGGAACACGACACGCTAATTGTCCTTCAACTTAGTTACTGCACAATTCATTTAGGACCAGGGAAGGCTTGTTATCTGACAGAAAACGGTTATTAGTTGTCAAAATCAAGCAAGGGGGAAGCAGTTCTGTTATTATACATCTTGTGAAAATCACATATCTGCAGTTGTCAGTTATGTTTGAAAGAATTACAATCCCACTGAGGCCTAAAGGGAGCTGGACTTGATCTCCTCCCAAGAACGTATGTTCAATACGGTTCAATCCTTAAATCAGATGGTAGCCTCCAGTCAAATTAACAAAAGAATAGCTAATGGAAGCTGGAATGTAAAGCACTGGGTAAAGTCAGAGAGATCAGGATAGTAAATTCAGCCTTACAACAAACCATTTCCGGTAAACGATATATTAGTGTAAAAAAAGTCACATGATCCAGTGGTCACAATCAGGTGATTCAGCTAGAATCTGTGGGATGGTTTGGGATGGTTGGTCTTCCATTGGTGGGTGGGAGGACTGGCCAGCTCACTGATAGACGCGTACATCACGTGAGGTGGTGCGGCTACCGGGCGGTCATGCCCAACAGAATCAACGTCGCTTATTACGGTGCCGCATGAGTTGGTTTAATGAATCTTCCGTTGATAACAGAGAAAGCATCAAAGAGGGATTTCTTAAGGCATTTGCTGGGCTTTTTTTTTTTTTTTTTTTAAATGGACTGGAAAAACGACAGAACCTACCATGATATCATGAGAGTTGCAGATGTATCTCGGGTTTGATACTGAGCTTTCATTGCTTGAACAGCTCAACTTGGGATCGCGCCTGGCGCATCATTCAAATTTCACTGCTTCCATCCAGACCATGTAGACACAAATGTCCTCAATTGTACGACCCCCAGACCCATGCCTGGTAGCAATAATCCTCGTCATCCAATCTCGTGCCGGGCCGCGCTTTGTGTACCACTACCCCCCAAGCCCATCTACCATCATAAACAACAAGCCCCGTCGTAATTTTCGTCCAAAAAACAATGCCAAGAGCTCAGACTCCAGTCCATCAAGTGCTGATGGTAACTCAAGTTCTGATGATGATGAACTCGGTCATTCCTCTGCTGGTAGTAGCTTAATTGGCCGGGGAGCTAACGAGCACAGCGGACGGGGCGGGTTAAGTGATAGCCGCCAACCATCTTCAAGGGCGCATAGTTCCTCACCCTCTCTGCAAGTTACGCGACGAAGTGCAACTCCCGACGCTAAACCGGATACTCAACCAGATGCCGGTAGGGAAGCGGCTATGGGAGAGCTGTTTCAACCGCCGTGGGAATCTTTACTAGGGCTGCCGACTAGCGTATGGGAAAAATTACTCAGTCCATCTCCAGCATGGCATAAGCGTAAATTCGAGGTGGGTGTCAATGATCTTGTTTTTGTGGGATGGCCCGTTTTTGTGAGAGAGGACGGGACATGGCGGAAACGGAAGAGGAAAAAGAGAACGAGAAAAAAAGAGGCATCAACGGAACAAGATCTAAGAGATGGTGATGAAAGGAGGTATGAGAAGAGGGATGATGGATCCTCGATACAAGCGCTGCAAACAGATGGCAAAAATGACCCCATTCCTGGGGATAAGGTGAATGCGGAAGGCGATAGCCTTCAGCGATTACAAGAGAGTGACAAAGGTTCAATGACGATGTTCAACGTGGTTTTCGTATTAAATCCGCCATTGTTGGAATATGGTTTGCGGATACGGGAGAAGTATGAGAATGTGATCAAGAAGTTTGGGAAGGGGTTGAAGTCGGAACAGGCGAGGGTAGATTACGTCTGGAAAGAGGCTCAAACGATTGTTAATATCAAGGAGAAAGCCCGGGAAAACAGTACGTAATGAAAATCTCACTTCATCTACCTTATTCTGGTAGTCGAAAGTTGTCTAACTCTCGTTGAAACCCAGAATTGTCCCTTTCTGGACTTTATTCGGAACTGCTGTCGAAGTCTTCACTTGCTCGAGCAATATCTACAGTCTATACAAGTATTGCAAACTCCAGAATCGCCTCCGTGACGCTTACACCCGAAGCAACAATGTCTCTTCAGGTTCCTCCCATAACTTCGACGTCTTATCTCCCTGCTGCCACAGAGACAGCATATCCTGGTCTCTGGCTGACCACAGCAAATAGTCTTTCAGCTACAGACGACGTGACCGGTATGGAAACAAATGTTCCCAACCAAACATTAGCAAAGCATTTCGCCTTGCTTCTCCTAACAGATGAAGCAACGATATTGAAGGATATTGAGGGTTCAGTGGGTCCACTTGGCCCGCGACTCGCGCATTACATTCGCGCCTCCAAACCAACAAAATCATTTGCGCAGATTTCTGCCCAATCCGGAATTCCGCTGAGTGACATCCAGGTGCTTGCGAGCCACCTTGCCTACTGGCGGAGAGCCCGAGCTGTCCCTCCATTGAGCCGACGGGATACGTATATAGTTTCCCCCAACGCCGATTTGAACAAGCTTGCACAAGCAACCGAAGCTTACGAAGCGGCATTCCCAACCCTACCCAGTCTGCCGAAAATGCTTCACGCTCTGAGTGACACGCCTAAACCATATTCCAGGTTAATACCTAGCAGGGACCACAAAGAGACATACTATGACATTCTGGCATGGTTGCTGAGAGGAGGTTGGGTCACACAACTCCGAACGTTTGGATGGGTTAGAGTAAGTCCGGAGATCAAGCAAGCTGTGAACGAAGCACTGGAAAGGGAGAAAGAAAATAAGAATAATGAAGAGGAAGAACATGAATCTTCATCAGTAAACCTAAATGATAAAGGAAAGCGACATCGTCGGACTAATATCAACGATGATGAAAACAATGATTCCCACTCCTCGTCTTCATCCTCCCTCGATAGTGACGCCAGCGGCGATGCCACCCCCATCCCGAACAAATTCACCAATCCAGAAAATAATACAAAACACGAAAAGCAGAAGCGCTCGCCCCTCATCTCCTCTCTCATTCTGCGGCCTCATCGCGCCTCATCATTAGAATCCCACTGGCTAGATGAAATTCTTTCCCAGTTCCCCGAAGCGTCGCACAATACCAACATGGACAATACCAACCACAGTCCTACCCCCACCGCAACTCTGGATGAATGTGATGATGTCGATGCTGCTCTCCGAAAATATTGGCCTATTTTCACCAAGTACTTCAATGGCACGGATGCGCTGGAGAAAATACCGGTGCGCGAAGGGCTAAATCGGAAGATTGTCTGGCGTTTACTGAATAGGATTGATCGGAGTACATTTTACCCTGGGAGTGAAGGGAGTGGCAGTCCTTCTTCACAGGAAAAGGTGCTGGTTACTGTGAGACATTGGTGATATATAATTCGAGGGAGAGAGTATATAATTCCATCGCCCTTTTTTTTTTTTTTTTTTTTTTTTTTGCGCCGGGATATCCTTGGCTGTTTATGGATTCACTATCATCAAGGTAATATTGCTTCACAGATATATGTAACGTTTCCCTTTGGTAGATAACAATTATGATTATTATCAGTTGATTTGATCTTCCATCTTTCTGGCTTATAATACCAGTAGGTTTTTGGCTGGAGGATTGAACTTACTTTTCTTCATCACATATAGCTACCTCTCAAAACCCTCTCATTTAATTAAAAACGACTAGCTGATAATCATGGGGGAATTGATAAAATTATTATGGATTACTTAAATGCCTTGTGACAGAGCTATTTGATACATGCCTTAAATAGAGGTCGAAAGGGTGATTTGATTGATGTTCCAGGACTATCCTATGGACTCCGAGAATTAGAAGTCAGCGTAGAAGTCACATAAGGAATGAAATGAGCTGGGATAGGCCGCAAAGTGAAAATTCATAAGCAGTGAAAAACTGCTGTGTATGAGTAGTGGGGTATATAATTAATTCCACACCAGCACAGTTGGCAGTGCCTATGAACTTCCAAGGTAATTTTCCGGAGAGCATCCTATCAATAACCCAGGCTATGGACTGCTATGGACTGCAGAGGGAACCTCGTCTGCACACCGCCTCGTAAAGACGACGAGATGGAATAAAACTACTTCAGCTCCTCATAATCACTGCGGGTTGTGCAACTTGATATCCCATTGAACAAGTGATAGATGTGTGATAGATGTGGAATACTGAAAAAGAATATCAAGAGGAGACGAATATGGATAAAGGAGCTGATTAAGGAGAAAATAGGGAGTAACAGGAGTAAGTAAATAAAGATTTGAGGAACAAATACGGAGAACTTGAATGGTGGATTGAATGATAGAACCATCACTGGAGAGATATTCAAAGAAGGAGAGAAATATAACATAGAAAACTAAGCATGTCACAAATACAAAAGTGTTGTTGCCGGGCTTCACAGAAGTATGACATCGACAATGTATTTAGTGGTACCTTGGGTGGATGTGTCATGCTATACATTGACTCCGGCATTCAAAGCCCACGATCGTAGAGTGCTTTTTGAAGCGTCTTTTGAAACGTGAAGATATTCTCCGGGGACATCATCGTATAGTGGGCACCATCCACATGGTGCATTCGAGGTGACTCCCGCGAGAAATCGGCCCATTTACTCAACTTATTATCGACCCAATCCGTCTGATTTGCCGCAGCTTGTTTCAAAGGTATAGCATGGAATATATCAATGCAGGACACGGACCCGGAAGGTTCATACTCTAATGCAGCTTCCTGCATTTTGTGGGCAAGGGAAATCCAGGTTTTCAATTTCTTCTTGGTTAGAGATAGCTCTGCCAAACGATTCGGCGGTGAACAAGATATGATATGATCGAGAACCTCGTCGTTAGAGAGTTTATGTAAGCTAGGCGATATTTCATGGGCATAGTCTTCTGATATCAGATCTAAGAAATAGGAAAGGTTGATAGCGGCTTCCACCCAGTCAAGCTGGCGCATACGATCTTTGATATGCGGGGGTAGGTTAAAAGAACCTAAGAACCTGATTTTGTCGCCATTTGCTTCGAGAAGTTTAGCGACTTCAAAAGCAACCATCGCACCAAAGGAATATCCTGCGATTGCATAGGGTCCATGAGGTTGTATCTCCTTGATGTGTCGAAAGTACGTTGTGAATATTTCGTTGAGATTTTTGAAAAACACTTCACCTTCCTCGAATCCGCGGGCTCGAAGGGCATACAGGGGGCGATCGTTGATATACTTGGCGAGATTCAGGAAAACGAGGACTTCCCCAACACCAGGATGAACAAGCCAAAGTGGACTTTTGTCGCCAGAGGTATGAAGTTTTACGACGGGATTGTATTGCTTCGACTGCTGTATTTGACATATTGCTTCTGCGATGCCGTTGACTGTAGGGTCCGACAACACCGATATCAACGGTATTTCCTGATCCAGACAGAGAATCTTTTGTACTTTGGTTTTCAGAGCGATTAGTTCGATAGAAGACACTCCCATGTCAAGGAGGCTGGTGTCAACTCCGATTTCTGAGATTGGTGTGTGGAACATCTCCGCGAACAATTTAGCAATCGATCTTTGAGATTCACTTGTGGGGCGCCTTAGATGAGTTCGACGATATATCTTAATGCTTTCCGCTGCCATTTCGTAATGTGCATCGTATTTGCCAGCGCGATATTCTGCAGCGATATTTGACCGCGAGATTTTTCCAAGAGTAGACTTCGGGATCAATCTCATATCAACGGGCACTATTTGATATGGGCTTACCCCGAATAATCTGGCAGTAATTTTTGATATTGCGTCGGATGATGCTGAAAAGCATTCGGGGCTCCTGTGGTTATGGGCTGGAGAGTACACTACCACGACTCTTTCGGTTGAGGCACCATAGGGACGATGAGAGAAGACCACAGTATATGTAGGGGATAGCCCAGGTAGATTGGCTTCTTCAATAGCATTTTCAAGCTCATGGGGATAGTAGTTAACACCGTTTATTATTATGAGATCTTTCGTTCGCCCGCAGAGGTGAAAATAGCCAGAGTCATCGATAAAGGCAGTATCTCCGGTGATAAACCATCCATCTTTAGAAAACGTGGCAGACGTCGCGAGTGGATTGTTGAAATATCCCTGAAACACCAATTCCCCCATGATCTGGAGGGACCCTGGGACGTTGGGCTCGTCAATGACATCACCGTTGTCACCAGCAATTCTTGCCATCATACCTGGAATGCATGGGCCCACGGAAGCAAACTC